CGGCGTGGTAAGACTAGAGCTCACGGGCCTCGGGGGGGAAATGAGTGGTAGGAAGATTACTAAAGCAGAGAGAGAAGCCATGCTCGGTGATTCATATGCATTGTGTGCTCCCTATGTGGGAAAGGTAGTTGGGACTGTGGAAGTTCCCCTGTACCTTGAAACCGCGTGACACGGCAAAGTCGACTGAAGCCTAAGGTGCCTCATATCTTGACTTCACATTGACCGATCTATGAAGTAGCGAGAGGCAAGTTATTACGAAAATGTTCCATGCCGGCCCTCGCGAGCAAAGCACCGTCTTCTTGAATAAAATGTCGAGATGGAAACCTTTCCACTCTGGAACGAGTTTATGTCATTCCTTCAGGTGGATCGGCATAGACTGCGTTTCTAAGTTTTGCTGCAGCGTTTCATATAATCAAGGTGTCTAAATCTCAAAGAGCACTTTCAGGCTAATAAGGTAGGCAGATACAAGCATCGAGGTGACGGGTAGTGCACCCATTCACCCAAAGAGCCTCGACAACTAAACTGACCACACCAATACATCATATTCGATACGTGAAACAGACTTCACCCAAAGCCGGTACCAATACAACGGCAAACATACGGCGCACGCCAAAAAGTCAAGCAAGACGTCAAGATAACAACACCCGCATACCACCGGCCTCGGATCCTTAAACGGCACTCCGGCCCCCCTCTTTTCTCTCCACCTTCGGATCCGCGCGACCCGGAGCGGTCGGAACGGCAGTACGGCAGAGGTACAATGTCATCTCGGTTAGCAAATACCCACGAGATACACGCATGCGCACTAACGCCGAGTACCGCGTAGACGCGCGCTCACGGTCCCTATTCCCCTCCCCCCAAGCCTCCCGCCTGGGACCCCAGGTCTTGTCTGCCTGCTTTTTGTTACCATCGGGTGGTCACTCATTGGTCCGTCCGGGTTCGAGGGCGTCCGGCGTCCCGGCGTCCGCAAGGTCGCGTGTGCACCCCGCATTCTCTCCACGATCAGGATGAAATGAACCGAACCTTGCGTGTTCTCTTGGCTCCTGGGCTATTTCCCAGATTCACATCACCTCGAAGAAGCAACCCCAAAGCAGCAGAACACCGGCACAAGGATTCGTGACAGACGAAGTGATCGCGGATTAGACCTTCTCCCGGTTGATGGCGCTGAATGCGGCTGCCATGCTCATCACGTTGGACACGCTTGTCAAGAGGTGGCGGTGTGATCGGAATGCTCGGAAGCTATCATTCTATGGCTTGTTCTCTCTCTTTGACTTCTGTGTCTATGGATCTATCCATTTGGTGCAGGTATAAAAATGCTAACGCCTTGCCAGTTATGTGCACTATATCTTCTGTACCATCTCCAGGCCACCCTAAGCTCCCATGCTCGATTCGACATTACCACGGCGTCCTCGAAGATCGCACATTAAACGGAGACTCGACGGCCTGGCCCAGAGCCAGAAGCACTCAGCGATACGAATCACCAAAATCCTACACTAGCATATGTAGAGAGGGCCATCATGGACCAGCTCATGAGAAGACACGACCTTTCTTTCTTTTTTTCACCAGTCGCTCAACTCCGTAACTTAGTTCACCGCACCCTTGATAGGCGCGGTACCGAGACCGTTGTGGTTGCGGAAGAACAAGACACCCTTGCCCTCGCCCTGGGCATCAGCACTGGGCTCAACCCACTGGCACATACGCGCAGACTTGTACAAGGCCTTGATGAAGCCAACCGGGCCATCCTTGACGTCAGCACGGTAGTGCTTGCCCATAACGGGCTTGATGGCGTCAGAGGCCTCGTCGGCGTTGTAGAAGGGAATGGTGCTGATGTAGTGATGAAGGACGTGGGTCTCGATAATGCCGTGGAGGAGGTGGCGTCCGATGAAGCCCATCTCGCGGTCGATGGTGGCAGCGGCGCCACGGACGAAGTTCCACTCACCAGCGGTGTAGTGAGGAAGAGTAGGGTCGGTATGCTGGAGGAAGGTGATGGCGACTGAAAAGAAAAATTAGCTGACAGTCACAGAATCGAAACGAGCCTTTTGACACTTACCGAGCCAGTGGTTAACCCAGAGGTAGGGAATGAAGTACCAGACCAGAAGGTTGGACCAGCCGAACTTGTTGCCGAGGAGAGCGAGAACGGTCATGGTGATGCCGACACCAATGTCAGAAGCGATGATGAGCTTGGCGTCCTTGGCCTCGAAGATGGGACTGCTGGGGTCGAAGTGGTTGACACCACCGCCGGCACCGTTGTGCTTGCCCTTGCCGCGGCCCTCACGCTGGCGCTCGTGGAAGTTGTGGCCGGTGACATTGGTCATAAGGTAGTTGGGCCAGCCAACGAGCTGCTGGGCGATAAGCATCAGGAGGGTGTAGATGGGGGTCTCCTCAGCCAGCTCGCCGACTTCGTGGGCCAAGCGGCCAGCACGGGTGGCCTGCTGCTCGCGAGTGCGGGGCACGAAAACCATGTCACGCTCCATATGGCCAGTGGCCTTGTGGTGCTTGCTGTGGGAGATCTGCCAGCTGAAGTAGGGAACGAGCAGAGCAGAGTGAAGAACCCAGCCGGTGGCGTGGTTGATGGTCTTGGAGGGAGAGAAGGCTTGGTGACCGCACTCGTGGGCAATGACCCAAAGACCGGTTCCGAAGAGACCCTGGAGAATGGTGTAGACGGCCCAGAGAACGACACGAGCAGCCTTGGAAGGCACGTAGTCGGGGGTAGCGAAGTTGTGGAAGATCAAGAAGGTGGTGGTGAGGCAGAGGATATCGCGGGCGATATAGGCGTATCCCTTGAGAGCAGAACGCTCGAAGCAGTGCTTGGGGATAGCGTTGTGGATGTCCTTGATGGTGAAATCGGGAGGGGTGAACTCGTTGCCGTAGGTGTCGTACAGCTTGGTGTAGTTGGCCTTCTGTTCGAGGACGGCATCGTCAGAAGCCATAGACGACAAGGACGTCGACGAAGCAGAAGGACGGGGCGAATCCACGGGCGAAGCCATGGCAGTAGAAGGAACCGAAGCGTCGGTCTCGGCGGTGTTGCTGGTGACGGTGCGGCGGAGAACGGGGTTCTGGCCGGCCGGCGCAGACGAAGTGGTAGAAGCCATAGCGGCTGGTATTATTGTGCTGCTGCTGCTAGGGAAGAGAAGAGGGACTATGAGAGCAGCTTGGGTGATGTTGCCTCGGTATTGGATCAATACACTCAGAGGAACGGTTGACAAGTTCCAATGGCCCTTGGGAGAAGAGAGAGGGATACCAATTGGGTCGCGGGGAGGGAACAGGAATCAAGAATCGCAAGCGGGAAAAAGGAGGAAGGGAGGGGAGTAATAAATGAAGGCACTCTGGGAAAAACCTCAGGTCGGTATCGGGTCGTGGCGGAGGCGAAAAGACAAAATAGTTAGCAAACGATGGGTCGGGACGGGGCCCGTTGTCAACTGTGTCTCTCCAAGGCCTTGGCTCGCTAGTACCGAGTAGTAACAAGTGGCCGGTCAGGTACCGTAACGGATGGAGCGAAAGGAGATCCCTGTGACTTTTTTTTTCGGAGGAGTGAGTGGTGTGCAGGTAAACTGGACCATCTGTAATAAACTGAGGTGAGGTCTGCTTGGTATCCGTACGGAGTAGTGGTGGTGTTCTGTGCTCTACCTTACCGTGTAAGGTACGCTGTGTGCTGTCTGTCTGGCCTCGGTTCCGTTTTTGTTGGGGACGAACTGGAGAGGGAAAGAGAGGTAGCTCCGTTGCTTGTGGCCTGCGGGGATTTGCAGGGCACGGTGCAAGGGGAGAAAGAGCAGGACCAGGGACGGGAGGGACGAAATGCGTGGCAGGGAACGAGGGATGGGGGGCCACCGAGGCACCGGGGGGTGTGAAAGCAACGAAATGTGTTCGTGTCAAGTCGTGCCGTGTGGTGGTCGGTTGCTCTCCTTCCTTTCCAATCCCAATTGCTGTTGGATTTTTCTGCTGGGCCTTGATGTTGATTGAGTTACCCACCAAAGGAGGACGATGTGGAGGGAGGAGGCAAGAAACCTAAGTCAAGTAACCCGTACATCCACTATTTGGGCGAGATACAAGATTGTTGCACCAATTATCATGTGTTGGGAGGTATATTTCCTCTCCACCTCCTTCCGTCTATGGGCTAAGGTACTCCGTAAAGTCACTACCTTCCATCTATGCGACCACCTTACCTTACCTCAGGTAGCCTTTCCGAATCCCATGAGAGGCCGGACGGAAGGAAAGACCGAAGCGGGAAGCTGTGCCTGGTCAAGTATTTGGATCTATTCCTTCCCATACGGAGTATCATTAGGTAAGGAAGGCATTGCAATTCATATCACTGGAAGGCAGGAGGGGCGCATCTAGACGGCGTTCAAACATTTAGACACCGGGCTTTGGTTATGCCAAATGCCATTGAATACCTTACCTTATTCAAGTACTCATTATATCGATGGATCATAGCATACTTTGTGAGATTCTTCCTCTTCCTCGGCTATTCTTGATAACGGGAGTTGCTCGCCTCCCCACAGAAGCAACAACTCGACACTCACAAGCCAAAACCCGGCGTACCGTTTTTTTGGTGGATGAATAGCTTGGCGATGCCGAATATGAACAAAAGTCTTGCAGCTTTCCCAAACCTTTTTGGAGAAGGCACACCTTTTTTTTTTTTTTTTCCGCGCCAGAGGGGAAGGCAAAAGATCGGCTGAAAAAGAATTTTTGGGACGAAGTCGGCGGTCTGAAGGGTCTTGGTTCGGTACGTACCCGGCTCTACATAGTATGAGGCGAAAAGGAAGGAAGGAATGGGAGTTGGGAATGCATCAGTCGTGCTTTGATGTACATCTACATCCACCAAGATTCTTCCCGCCCAGATTCTGACTTTCCTTTGCCTAGACACATTGTAGCCGCTACCTTCTAACCCAACCTATGCAGTCCACCTGCATCAGAGGCAGCTTGCAGTGAGGTACGGTAAGGTACTTGGAGACCTGAAGCAATGGAAAAGTGCCTTTGACTGACCGTTCCTCACCCACGCTGCAATGCTGCATTTACCGCACAGACTCGAGGGAAGGCATTCTGAGTCTTCCATTGACCGTGCTGAATTTCGCCCTCTTTCTCTTCCCCTTCGTCTTGGAGCCGCTATTGACACGCGACGGTATTTGCATCAGTCTAGATCCTCTCGCCGTCCCCGCCATTGCTACTGTTTGCATCTGGGTCATGTTCCAGCTCCCGGCAGCAAATCTACCCCTATTGGGAGGCGAATTCATGCCTGGCAGGGCAACACATGGACCGCTCCATTGCAACGCGAGACAGGCACCATATCCGCTGTCTCTTTGGTCACTGGTGTCTGGACTTTGGAGCTCTCTTCTGAAGCTCTTACCAGGTACCCGTACCTTTCGGCACCGACATACCTCGACGGGGTTAGGAGTACCGAGACTTTGAACCGTATCTCTTCGCCCCATGCCTCCCCCTCAGCCCTCCGTTTCTCAAGCACTCTGGCACTTTGCGGCTTGCCTCCTCGTGCTTCACTACCGCCTGGCTCATGCTGATGCACCCTTACCTGTGGCCCACTCTGGCCATGCTCCAACTTCACCGCCCTTCGAGCTAGCCGGCTGAACTCTGGAGCTTGAGAGGCAGATCAGAGCCAGACTGTGGCAAAGTCAATTTGGTTCATCACCAGCAGCAACAGAATGCCAGATCCCTCAAATGGTCCCGGATGGCCTCGATAGTTTGACGTCGGACTCAACCACAATACCTACTGTATCTACCGTTTCCATCGGAGGCCTGCAGATCCTAGGACAGCTTCTTTTGGAGACCCGAGTTGGACATATCTTGCGCAAGACAGCCTATGCTGTCACTGCTGTGGTACCCATGCCTTCAACCTACGGGCTGGCAGTATCCAAGACACAACCATGTAAGTTGAAGCTGATTTGCCGCCCAAGATGCGTCAGGCGTCCTGCCGCTCCCGTTATGCCTCCTCCCGGGTCATACTGCGCTCTCTGACGTCTTGTCTCGTGGCAAACATGCAACACGCAGACTGTCGATTGGCCTTGTTCTTGAAGGTGGTGCAGTCACCGCGCGCCCACCAGTCACTCACGCAAATGTCGCCTACGTTTGGCACAAACCGGCGTTCGTCCGTGCATGTGAAGATGGCGCTTGTTCGGGGCAAGATTCAGATCGGAAAATCCTCCAGTCGTAGACGGCGGTGGTGTGGCAGCTTAGCCAATATCGAGTCAGATCAACAACCGTCCCCAACCCTGCACCATTCGACCAGCGACAGCAATTCTGGTCCGTTTTGATCTCACCACATGCCCGAAAACCGCACCGCAGCAGTCACTCTGTACATTGGTTGCCGTGCGTTGAGAAGTCCTTTCCGCCGACTTCCTCCAACTAATTCGCGATCAGGAGATTTTACTTCATTGTGGGATGTCTCTGGGGCGAGACTTGATATAAGTACACGGCGGAGACTCCTCTTGCGTCGCAGTAGGCCAGGGCCAACATGCTGGATTTCGAATTGTTGACAGGATCCAGGCATCATTGGGAATACGATCGATAAAAGGTGCCCGCCGTCGTTCAGCCTTCAGGGACGGCAGTACGTACCCGGGTTCCCCACGCTTCTTGGTGGGATGACAGGGATGAGCAAAGTATACGTACCTCTGCACGCAAGGAAGTGGTCCTCCATGTTTTCTGTTCCCATTCCTTCAACCCCACGAACGAAGCAGCGGAAAGCAGAGCGGACTGGGAAGACGCGACAGACTGGAGCCTCACGATTGGCCAGCAACGTCTTCAGCCTGCTCCAGCCAATCGGGAGTAGAGCAAGTTGCTGACGCGGCTAGCCAATCAAGGGCCCGCAGCTGGGGAAGGGATTTGAATCTTGAATTGACGCCCTCGCTTTCGTCGACGACGTCCAAGGAAAGAAAGTGGCCAAAGATGAGCCTCTCACCAGCTGGCAACATTTCTGAATCGCTTCGCATGGCATCTAAATTCCACACCGGAATTTTGCAATTCACAAGGGGAGACCGATGATAGACACTACGGCAATTGGACTGGACTCTACTCGACTTGCCTCGGGCAAACCCGCGAGACAGAGGATGAAACGACCCAGGATCGAGTCGCTCGACGACCTCCACAGCTCACAGCTTGAACAGGACGTAAAGACCCTGAAACAAGGGTGGGAACGCCGTTTTCTGGAAGCATCATGGCATTCCAGGGTCCGGTTTTTGCCTGCTTCGCTTCTGTAGGTAGCGCTGTGAAGATCAGTCACTCCCTTTCCCCCCCTCTATTACTCTTTTATTTTTATTTTTCATTTGCTGCCCTTGAAATTTTCTGTTGGGGTTCAAATTTGTTGAGATGGTTGCAGTCCAGGGCAGGGCCTTGTCGCGATGGCAGAGCTTCATTGGTACGTACTGACAGAACCCCACTCAGATGGATGAATCCCCGGTCTTTGCTCTCACAAGTCGTGACTTCCTGCTCTCTTCCTAGGGATACGTACCTCGGGAACTTTAGCACACGCCAGTCTTGATTCCTTCTCGAGCCTCGAATCTTCACATCCGATGGATACCTTGCGGTGAAAGCACACAGCAATGCCGGCCATTATGATATTCAGTGGACTGGGAAACAAAGCTCCATCGCCTTTTCAGAATCCCGATTATCGTGGAGACCTTCTATCGAGGTTTCAGTTCCACCTAACGCTGAGACCATCGAGATCCCCAAGGACCAATCCCAACATACTCAATTACACGGGGGACAAGGATTGGGACAAGCTGGCAAGTAGCTTGTTGGTAAGGTCTCTCTGCTGCTTACAGCCAATTTTCAATTATCACATGGTAATTGTTCGATATTGATCCTGCTCCGTCTCCCGCCCAGCCTGGAATGATATCCGTTCTGGCAGTAGACGAAGAGCACGCCAGGGGCAAAAGTAACTCAGAGGCCACGGCCCACAGACAACGGCTATTCGCACGACGCTTCTGCAATCTGCACTGCTCATCGTGGCACTCGTGCAAGTCGGGCCCACCGTCGCCTACTGTCGTGGACTTGTGGTGTGGTGCCGTCCGCTTCTCATTCCTAACGAACCCGAGGCCGGGCCCTTTTTCACGAACCACAGGGCCGACCTCCTTCACATGTGATTTGCTCCCCTCCATAGGATAGCGAGAAGAGGCGGCAGTGACCACTGACAGGCGCCACAACCTACTCCAAAGGTCACGACATTTCTTTTCACCCCTTGCTAGCACTTCTATCCGTCCCGTTAGCTTTGCAGAGGAATCAGGGAACGATGGCATTGGCACTCTGCTGATACCTCCCCATCTCGGCAAAGTGTCCTGCGAGTTGACGGACCAAGCACGACTCGGAGGCGAGAGATCGTTTGCCTAGCAGTGCCACTGGCTGGAGGCGGAACATTCCCTTCGTCCCGTCTGGCCGCGGAGGGCTAACGCTCAAGCAGGTTTACTCACCCTAGCTTTTTTTGGAGGAAATTCAGGGTTGTGTACCTACTCTACTCCGTATCTGCTTCGCATCGTCTCTTCGAGGAAGAAGAGGAGAAATTTCGTAGTAGCACCAATCAACAGTAGCTTGTGAAAGATTTGGCTTGTTGCGGTTATAGATGACCATGTCTCGTAGGGCTTTCAGCTGACGACACTTTTGTCTCGGTTACCCCAGTACTAGTCCGGATGACTGACAGCTCTAGCTCCAGCATGTCACTCGAGGAGAGTTTACGAGTTGCGAGTTTTTGATGTGACACCCGCGAGAGCCACAGCCTCAAGCATACCTACCTTACTCACACTTCTCTCAGTCTTGCCTACCACTAATTACTCACATGCTGTCTTCACTTGAAGTAGGTAATCGAACTTGTTGAAACCGGTTCAAAATCCCAGCGAATCGTGTCACAGATTACCACTACGAAGGATCCCCCCAAGTCTCAGTCAGGTCCATATTTGGCCTCCTATTCACCGCCTCAGTCCCGAGACGTGGAACAACGCTTCCCTGACCGCCAATCACACGATACACGAATACCATTTCTCACCCAGACAGCCTGCTGCATAACAAACAAGCCCCTCTTCGACACCTATTATCATTCATATCCTTATCAAGAATACCTGTCGTCCAGGGCCTCGTGACAGCCTGCAGAACGATACCCAGCGCAGGCTCAATGTCACGGTACCCGACTAACCTGTGTTGCTGTTTGGCTGCCTTACCTCTCGAAAGAAACGCAGATCATATCAAAGACATGTGAAAATACACTTCCCTCCCCAAGCAAATGCCCGAATATCACGTCTCTGATGTCACTCGTGCCACCCTGACATGCCGCCGTTCTCAACAGCTTCATCGTCAGGTGCTGCAATACGCTTGATATCTCCCGGCTTGCTCCGCAAGTACCCAGATTTGCATGGCTTTCTGCAGACGAGACCTCAGCACAGGTCCGGACTGCGATCTGTAGCTTACCACCTTACCTGACACCCTCTGCAAGGCGTCACCGGTACACCTACCTATCAGAAGCGCTCAGAGTCGCGCCTCCTGTCAGACAGCGCCAGCCCCATCCGTCGCGGCTGAGACACCCAACAATCCGACCCCGCGTCTCAGAGACGCCGTCCCCGAGTCACAGAGGAGAGCCTGACAGGAAGTGAAGGTATCTTGGATCTCTTAGGGTGTCGTGGCATTCCACTTCTTGCGCTGGGTCAGGCAGAGTTGCTGTTTTTATGTAGCTCCCAGTGCTTCCGTATGACTGCCGGCGCTGGGAGATGGATGGGCAGCTCGGGAGGCGCTGCTCTGCAATAGCCAGGTGGAAAGTCGTTGAGTACAACCCCGATTGAAGCAGAGCTGTTGTGGTAGATGGTACGTATCGCACGTAGGTCGTGATATTTGGTAGGCAAAAGTTGACCGTAAGATGGATTGTATAGGTACTCTCAACCTCTGAATGAAGTGAAATTCATATTCGCAGCCGCGAGCGATGAATGTGCTCTATAATGAATCATTCCATTGGTCCTATCACGACTTGGTTCATGTGTGGAAATGGCGGGCATCACGATTGTTTGAACCGCCTTCGTTCACTTCCTCATATCCCTTCATTTACCTGACGACTCCCCTATGAGGTTTCGTAAACTAGCAGCAGCTTGACTTTGGCCGTCAGAATGATCAGGTTTGACTTGAAGAAGCCATGCCTCTTCATTCATCGTTTGGTAGCTTGGATATCTACAACTATTCCACGGCTGGTCTGGTGGTGAGCATCCAAGTTCGATGGAATCGTCATGTCAGCCAGGAACGAGACGAAGTCGGATTTGCCATGGAAGCTGAGGTTGCGCGTCGACCCTCGTCAATGCTTTCGACCACCCGCTGACTCTGCTGTTGGCGATAGTACTGCATACGATCAGGAATGGTTGCCTTCGATTCCTTCAAGTGCTTGTCAAGTTCCTCATCTTCGTCTGAGGTGCTGGCATCGCCTGAATCCATGTAATCCTTTGCTTTCCAGTATCGTTTCCCATGAATATACTCTTCATCGTACAAATCACTCTCGTTGCCCATGAGATTGAAATGTTGCAGAGCCGCTTGGAGTTCCCGTTCTTTCTTCTCCGAAGGGCCGGCGTTGGCATCATCCTGGCGTAGTTCGACTCTGCCAGGGCCCGTCTGGTAGGAGAGACCCGATGCTTCTAGGCCTCTCCGTTGCTCTTCCGGCACCCAAGAAACATGGGAAATAATCCATGCGTTAAAGTGAGAAGTGTTTGGTTGGAGGAGGTAGTCGTAGGAGCGCTCCAAATCTTCCCGTACAGGTCGATAATGGTCTAGCCAGTGACGTGAAACGTATCTCAGGAATGCCCGATGAGGATTGTTGCGACACTCTTTGAGATAAACGCTCGCTTCGTGATGATCCAAGATAGTCTCATTGAATGGCTCCGCTAACTGGATCAAATTGATGTAGTCAGCGCAAAGTTGAAGCATGTACATATTTGCATCCGCCAGACTGATTGAATGTTGCCATTGCGAGACAAGCTCCAAGCTTCCCGATTTCTGCCTGTCTTGGTCTGTGGCTAGAGAATGCCTTTTCCATCGGAAAACCATCTTGAAATCGAGCTCGCTGTCTCTATCCAGAAGGAATTGGCGGGCTGTCTGGTGGACTAGATATATTTTCTGATTGCGAATTCTGACAAAATGGCCGCAAATTTGCCGTAGATGATTTACGAACGGCCTGTGCACAAAACTTTGCAGCTCTTGCAAATTAGAAACCGTTCGCATCTGCGTTGCTGGCTGTCGGTTGATGATAGTGTGATTCGCCTCAGGCCAGAGGGAAGCAGCCGTCATACCTCGTCTTTCGATATTTGTCAGCTTCGGCGTAAGGTTTGTTGATCCCATTATGCTTCCGTTTCTAGTGATGACTCTTCGTTTCGTACTCTCCTTCACTGGTCTGACTGCGGAAGATGAGGAGTTTGATGATAAGACCATCGTGGCCCTGGCAGTTCCAGGCTTTTGGAAGGTCTCGAGCTCTGACACCTTCTGCTGACCGAGCTGTTCCGCAGAGAGTCTCAATTCTGAGTGGTTCAAAGCTCGTTTTGACTCTTTTGTATCTGGCTGTTGGTGGTGGTCTTGATTGACTTCCACAGCTCCGCATAACTCATCTAAAGTCAATGGGCGAACGGCGGCAAGGATGAGTAGTAAAACCTTTCTAGTCTTCAAAGGTGATGCTCGACCGGACAAAAGCTTTTCGTAAACGTCTTCGAGCTTGGTAGTGGCCAAGATGGCTTCGATCTGATCCATTGAAATTCCGTCCACTTCAGCTTCTTTTACGATGTTCAAGACCAAAGACACCCAGAGGAAAGTGTAATCGGCATTGCTGATAAGCCGCTTTTTCAGTCGATCAAGAATTTCGGTAGACAATTCTGACTGCTGACCAAGATCTGAAACTTTCGATATCACGAATTGAGCGATATCCTTCGCAACGGAGACACTCTCTTCCTCGGCACTAAGCCTGAAACTGCAACCATTCTTGCTGTACTGTGAGACAATGTTAAGATTACCGTTACCCGACCGGAGTCCGAACCTGCGTTCGACTGAGTTGAGCGGTCGGCTTAGGAGAACGATTTTACAAGCTGGCCTCGATTCGACGGTCAATTCTTTGCGAGACTGGAAGAAGTCCGCCAGAGCTTTGACGAGCTCGTCCAAGGACTTCTCTTCGCACTCATCTAGACCATCTAGTATAAACACCATCCTTTTTGTGTTTACATCATCCATTGTCGCTAGCAGAATAGACCAAAGTGTGGGAAAGCGATTGAAACTACTCTTCGGCATGCTGAGGTATTTGGCCAAGGCATGATGCATTACCCGACTTTGTTTGGAGAGTAGCTGGTGAAGGACCGCCGAAACAGCTGACGAAGCATTGTCCTGGTTTTCTAGTCCTTCCTTGAAGAAGAAGTAGCAGACATGGGTGTGGAGATGTGCGCTGAAGGTTCGTTTTTGGAAAAAGTCGACGAGATACTTCGCTACTACCGACTTTCCACAGCCAGCATCGGCTGAGATCCATAGAAGGGCTGAGCCTGGTACCGAGTCCCATAGAGTCCATATCTCATGTGAAGTAACCCACTCGCAAGTCTTGGGTATCGGATCGTCGATCTGGTCAAGATGGTATTCGTATTCTGAGTTCAGTTCCCTTACACAATCGATTGCTGCCGGCAGATCGAACCCTCGGGTTCCATTAGTCGATGTGTCGATGGCCAATGGCATTTGTCGTTAGTTATACTCACGAACATCACTTCTTGACCCCAATGTTCCCACCGCCTCGCGAATAGCTAGAGAAGCAGCCTTGTATCTTGAGTCTTCTGGTGACGGAAACTTGCAGATGGCTGAGTGGTTGGCGTTCGAGGCAATGTGTAATTCTTTAGGCCAGTTCAATATGGCCGATTCCTTCTCGACGACCTGAAGTCTTCTTGTCAGTTTCCACCTACAATGCATGGTAGGGAGGCTTCTGATGTCTGGCTTACCACCATACCTTGCAATTTAACCCCTTCATGCGCAAATTCTCATAGAAGCTTCTAACTTCGAAGTTATCCCCACGAGCTGCGAATGACTCGGATATGCGCCTCAGAAACTTTGAATCGACCTTCAAACTGCTCGATAATTTGCTATTGGTTGTGTATCCAAGTGTACTAGCTTTGACAATGAGAGTGCCGATTTCGTCCCATGCGGCCAGGCTGGAGCCACGATGCGGTGTACCGAAGAAAACCACACCGCAGATATGGTCCAATATACAGGAGTAGTGGCGACGTTGCTCATGGGCCATTATTACGGCCTGAAACAGTCAGCAAAAGGTTTTACGCGATTTGGGAAGGCCGCGAAATCCTGCGAAATGTGACATAGGAAATGAGGAGAGAGGATAGGGTAAGAGAAAGACACTGCGTATACTTGTTTGAAAACCAGACCCCCAAGACTATGGCAAATGAAAACAATACGGCGCTGTTTTTCTTCTTCGCTTGTACGCTGGGCTTTTAGTGCCCAAAGCAATTCGGAGGCAAAGTCTGGTATCTCTGATTCGGATCGACTGAAATAGGTCTTGGAGTTGTAGCCGAATGTCAAAATTCGTGCCGTGGGCATGTCTTTTGGCAGGCATGAAGAGTCGCTCAGCCACTGCAGTCTCGTATCGGCATGCATCCATGTCTCTTCGCGGTGACCATTGAGCCCGTGAATAGCTACAATGTCCACGCATCCTGTCCTGTCCGACGGCTGCGGGACGAGGATCTTAAGGCCGTAACAATCTTGTTTCCTCGCAGCGGCTTGTGCAATGCGTCTACCCAGATCTCGTGTAGAGTCGATATCTCGCCTCGATGATGCGTTCAAGTTGCTCCGAAGATCGTCCTCTGTCGTTCCCGCAGTGTCCTCGGGGTGCGGACTACTCGTCTGAAAATCGGTGCCAGCATCTGGATGAGTGTCGTTGTTTTCGGGAGAGGACTTGTTAGACTTGAACAGTGCCGATACCCGCGATCTGAGGCCCATGATCAGAAAATCAGCAAGAAGTATGATTATTTGCGACTCTGGTAGAGCATCGCTCTGAAGAGGAATCAAAAAATGTGACCAGGCTGAAGTTCGGCTACAAAAAAGGAACCAACAAACTGCCCGCTTGGGGTGTCTTTGCACCGCCCAGGGCAACACGGTGCAGGAGCGAAGCTAAACCCCCTGTCGCATAATTTTATTACATGGCGTTGAGAGCCTGCCGAGAGTATTGCCTGCTGCGGTTGCCTCAGTGTTGAGTGACATTATGGCGAGGAGGAGGAGGAGGAACCAGGCACGTTTAAGGCAGGCTGGGCAGGCGCTTATCCTGTCATTTCTGCATGGGCGGCAAGCCCAGCCACCCAATCATAACGTTCCATACAATGACGATTAGACAGGCTTTGATACTTGACACCGACGAATTGAGTGGGTGGTGTCATTTCGGTCTGAGTACATGGAGGATGGCTGAGTCCAAGGCCCATGAGCTTTAGCCATATCGATCTCGAGGTATACTCACAGTTGCGCATCGATGGCGAGGTGATTGTTGTCGATACTGAAGTAGTTATACACAACCAACTGAGGTTGAACCGAAAGCCGACAGTAACAACTCTGATGAGCAGAAATTAGCAGTTCAAAATGATGAATCTGAACAGAACCAACTTGAAGTGCCACATGACAGCGATGTCCTCATTTATGTACCTAAGGTGGCCAAAAGCCGCTACCTGTAATCGTGTTCGTTCCTCGTTATCCCTAGATGCTCTATCAACGGGATGTCAAGCATGAGCCAGCCTTCTGATCAACCCAACGCCGGATGCCCAGTTCTTATCCAAGTTACGCCATGCATCCAATGCTATCGAACCGGTGTTGCAATGAAGATCAAGAAAAAAGGGGTATTTCATCAAACCGCAAAACCAAGTTGATCTCGCTCATCGTCCACAAGTCGTCCCCATTCCAGTAGTAGCCGAAACATGTAGATACGCATGTCTTCTCTCCGGAGCGCTTTGCGGCTCCACGCCCTGCCTTCTTCCGCAATGGCCTCTGCTCGCCTCTTGCCTTCCGTGTCAATTCCAAAGTACGAAAGGAGATCCCACAGCTCGTGGAGTCGCACATCGACCGGGACGTAGTGACGCCACCCGTGGACCCTCTCGTTGAACCAAGTCCGGAAGAGGCCGGAGCGGTATACGAGACTCTTGCTGCGGAGGAAGGGGATGAAGCGCCCGCTGAATCCCGCGCCGTCGAGGTCCATCAGGTGTGCGTACTTCCAATGGTCGGTGAAGGGGACCTGGGACTTGTCGGGTGAGTCCTGGCCGATGCCCCAGAAGGTGTCCTTTTCGCTTTGGCAGTCCTCTCGGTGACACTTGGTCCATCTGCTCACGAAGCCAACATCAAAATTTGGCAGATCATCCGGTCCCAAGACCAGTGTCCGACCATCCTGTTGGAGTTTGGTAACCCTCATAATCGAATTTGCAGCTTGGACGAACCGAGCCCTGAGGAAACCCTGCCACGAGCCCCAGGCTGCATACCCATCCGACGATGACCCCCTCCAGAACATGGTGTTCTTCTTTTTACTCCATTCCATGTCCTCTTTCTCATCGTACGCGGCCTTGTCATCGTAATTCCAAGGCGAAGGCACCAATATATCAGCAAACCCCGACGTTCTGCTTTGACTGAACACGGGAAACGCATCTCTGGTGAAAAGGGCCGGCGCCGGAGACAATAGAAATCCGTGAAGGTATGCCAAGTCCGGCTGGTGGCAGAGGTCTGTAGCTGAGGTCCAGTTCGAGACGACGGGGTTCTCGAGCGCCTCAAAGACGCGGATAGCATGCGGCAGGAGACATCCACGGCACGCCTCTTTGCGGCTCCACCATCTCGTGTTCCGGGCGGCCGAGTCAGGCGGACAGGTTGGAGCAACAAAGTCGTAGTAGTTTTGATCTCGGATGCGGTCTTCGAAGAAGGGTGACCGCTGCTCGGGTCCCTTAACAGCATCGTCGTCACCCCAAACTGCTGACTTGGATCTGTCAAACGTCTTTCGATCATCCGAATTGAGGAGCTTCGTCCTCGATTCCAAGCCAACGCCGTGAAGTTCAGACATGTCTTCGAAAGGGATCGCCACGCGAGGCTCGTCGTTCAGGTTGATGGCAAGGTCCATGTCGGGGAGATGCTCGGCAAAGTCCTCAATCATGTTCTTCATAGAGGTCATCATCCACATGTGGGATCCAGGCGTACCGGGAGCCACGTTGACCTTTCCCCCACGAATCCGAATGCCTCCAATGCCAAGCCACGGTATCTCCAAGGAATGCTTGGTACGATCTCGCAGGACCTTCGGCTCAACGCCCCAAAACGGGAGTAAATCGTCGTTTATCTGGCTGAAATCGTCGATGATGGGCGAACCGTTGGCGACAGCGTACTCGTACCACTTATCAAAGTTGGGAGGTGGTGCCACACCATAACGCTGTTGATATTCTTTCGCCGCGACCTCGAGGGTGGAGCTCTGATTCGCTCTCGCGATCCAGGCGTCGGATTTGGTATTGGCCGCAGAGAGAAGATCAGGGAAGGATAGAGTATCGGTGGAGTTAAAGTCCGGGTAAAAGATAAGGTAGGTTCCGCAGAGGACGCCAACCAGGACGACGTACCACATCAAGAGAAACCTAATGAGCCGTGGATCTCCCGACGAAGATCCAGAAGCGCTGGCGATATCCTTCTCGTATCGCAAAAGGAGGCCGACGCCGACTATCGTAAGACCACTAGCTATCATGTAGGGCAGAGAGCCGTCCATGGGTAGCGCGGTTTGCAGCATGCGGACGAGCTGATGGGCATAAACGCCTGAAGCAGTGACAATCATGCCCAACGTGCTAGGATGCATGTCACTCATGACATAAAATCCCAATATCAGCCCCAGCGACGCCACTGTGCTGTCCGTCAGTAGATCTCTGATTTCGACAAAGTGAAGTCCAAACGCCCAACGGGTGTTTCGAGCGTTATGGAGGGAGAAACAGGCAAGCAAAGCCAGAACACCTGCGGACCCTAGAAAGAGTTTTGACACGAATCCCCAAGCCTGCGGTGCATCATCCACAGTGTCCTGCCGCCATTTCCACAGGTAAAACAGCAGCAGCGCATCCAAAATGACAGTAACGACCTGGGCTATGGGGATCTGTCTCTCCCACCGAAGAAAGCCTGCTGGACATATTGCGCCGGCCGACTGTGTTGACAGGGCGAGAGTGGCCCTCGTGGCGCAGGCCCAAGCGATGGCGATGACGAAGTAGCGCAAGTGAGCAACATTACAGCAGCGTCGAGATCGAGCTTGGTCACCATTGTGTTGTTGGAGTCGTATGGTGGAGGGAGAAAACGTTGTGTAAAGGACGACAAGAGCTGGGAGGAATACCTGTGCGCGGCGTGTTAGTTCTTCGCGGCCATGGGAATTCTTCAGCATTGCGACAGCTCTCGGTCTACGAACCTCGAAGCTCTCCCAAGAGCAGTGAATCGTGCGGATAGTGCGCCAAAAGAGCAGCGATCGCAGTACGATAGCGCATCCTAGGAAGAAATAGGGCGACAACAAGAACCGAGGGTTGCGCGCGACATCGATGCCAGCTTGGAGTCGTTTTCGCCAGTCATTTTTCGAGGTTGAAAAGGTTGCCAGTTGATACCCGCTGCTGGTTGCACTTTTCCAGGGCGAGATCTGTCTGCACCATATCGCAATGAGTAGACCGGACTCGAAGAGGGTCAAGATGGAGAAGTGCATTGGCCGCTCTGCTTGGTGTTAGTAATTGTCGTCCATGCAATGGTTATGTCGCAATCTGTAAGCAAGGCGAGGTAGAGAGAGTCCGTGGGTTTACTGACCAAAAGCAGCGCTGCTGTTAAACCGTGAGGATATCCATGCTGTGCATGCAAGTAGTAGAATACTTGGAACGGAGTTAATGTCAGCAATGTCACTGGCGCCAATCCAAATACAATTAGGCGAGACATGGGAGAAATTGTGTCAAAAAGCTGCAGGTTTTGAGACTTTTTCTGATGCCATCTGAGACCGCATAGCAGGTAGAAGGTACACATAGTGCAACAAGGAATGAGGGCGTTTACTCACCAAGCCGCCAAGATGCCATGTCTCTTCAGCGGGGCCGCCATCGGCCTTTGTCAACTTGCCCTACCCAGCGCCGGCTTGGCAAGCAGAGAGACGTCGACTCCAGATGTAACGGGATAAATTGATGACGGGGAAGTGATCTGGGATGCGCGAAGAAGAACCAAAGAAGAATGCCAAAAGGATCATGCTACTGTGAAGTAAGCAAAGTCCAATGCGACCATGACGTTCCTTGGTCTAATTCCTACACTCCGAGGCAAACAGGACTTTGCTTTAGTGTGGTGTCGCGGCGCGCGCCTATGAAAAGGATGGAAGCGGCAGGCAAGGTGACAAGACAACCCAAGGGGAGGTAAGTACTTGTAGGTAGGTAAGCTGACGGAGGAATTTAAGGCTAAAGCAAGGTCAAAGCTGAACCAAGCCAAGATCAGAAATAGAGAAATGGAAGAGAGGGAACAAGGACAAAGACGGGGGGGAATGGGGGAAGAAGGAATAGAAGAAACATGCAAGACAAGGCCGGCTCGAGGATAGTGCTTTCTGAAGAATGGCTAGCGTACGCCCGACACACACACGAGTGACAAACAGAGACGTCCACCCGATGGGATACTTCGATACGGAGACTATCAGGTAATACTAAGGTATCTGGTATCTTGGGGCAATGGGGGGCCTGCTTGGCTGCAGTCGCTACTGTCGCTACACACACCCAAGACGTATCGAATGAGGCACTTACTTGCTGTGATTGCTGTGTAAGGTAATTACAGAGAGGTAGGTAAGGTAGGTAACACGAGGCAAACAAGCAGACGGGAAGGGAAGCAAGCAACCACCATGGCACCAACGACGACTGCCAAGTGCCAAACCTTTCCTCTTTCTCACCCTTTAGTTAGAACTCGGGAACTTGGAGGGGCTGGGAGAGTCCATCCAGCGTTTGCTGTGCCTTCTTTCTATCTCTGACCAAGGTACGGGCCAATCATGTTCTAGCGGGCCTCCCGTCCAGTACGGCGTAGCATTCTACCGTCATTGTGCCGTACAGCCGGTCCACACACGAGGGTGCACCAAGAACCTTGGTTGGAAGCTGCAAATCCCCGTCTGGTACGGAGTAGGTAGTAGTCTCTCCGACTCTCTGGCCCGTATCGTGTTGGACACTGGTCCATGGTCCATGGTCGTCCAAGGAACGTGGTGTTGGACGCGACGGGTTGGGATGCTTATGGGCCTTGGCCTGGGCCTGGGCCTGGACCTGTGTTGTCGCTTCGCTACAGAGACTGCGTACAAACGGGGCCGTTGGTATACTGGGGTTGAAGAACACGAAGAAGTCGTACGGAGTATGGAGTACCAGGGGGAAAAAACGGGAAACACAAACAGACGAAAGCATGGCGTCATGGGCGCAGCTTTCTGTAACGGTTGATGTGGCTTTCCCGGGAACGGGATGCGTAAGTACTTAGGTCCGTACCTTACCTTAGCTGACGGGTTCATCAAGCCATGCCCAAGTAATTGGAACCGGCAGAGAGAATAGGAATAGGAGACGAATCCTTACTTCGTACGCCTTACTCCTGACTTCGATCCGGAGGGATGCTTTCTGCACGGCCACAGTCGTACGTGTACCTCGTACCGCACATATTGGTCATTGGTGAAAGCGGCTGTGGTTGTGTGTGGAGAAAAAAGAACGGAATCATTGCGACTCATGGACAATGCTTGCCCTCCGGCTCCATCCCTCGACATTCCGATCTGCGGGCCCGGTGGACCTGACCTTCAATGCTGCCATTTTTTCCTCATCTTTTTGGACCAGAAATCCGGAGCCGTAGTTTTGGGAGAATACAAGAGACGGAAAGGAATGCTAGTACTCCGTACGGCTGGCAAGATTGAGATGAACGACGTTGGCCAGAGTTCGGATGTCATGAGCGCAAAGGGTGGAAGGACGAAACTCCAAGAACTCACCATTCATTTGCTGATACAAACACGAGTTCCTGGTACTTTTGCAACTTGCACGGACACCCAGAAACTCAACTTCTCAACCAATGTCGTGCGGAGAAATCAAGTCATTAATCCTTCTGCCTATTTCAATTACCGTGGTACCCCTAGCTGTCATCGGCTTTCCGCGTCGATCATGCACAAGGAAACCTTCCTCTTCCTCGCCAGCCAACGGCACCGCAAAGCTTATTGTCGTCCAATTCTAAGCCGCATCTTTCCCATGTGAGATATACACCATACCTTACCGTCCGATACGGTAAGACGAAGGAAGCCTCACATTTCAGCCACATGTCAGCTCCTGACCTCGTCTTGTCCCATGCCGGTCTCTTGCTCTCATCGGGAGCATCAAATCTGTGAATACCACCTTATTCGGCCATCACAAATAGTGTCGACATCCTGTCAAGTCACGCTGCAATCATCGAAATCCACCAATGGACGCTCAAATCATTCATGACACTGCCATTGATTCATTCAGCCCAAGATTGATCCCCTCTGGTCTATGGTATTCACTTTTTGTCTTTTGACCCAACGTCAACATGCAAATATGACTTTTTTCTTGCTCTCTCTTGACCTCCCATTCCTGCCGAGAAAACCCTCATGTGCTGCCATCACTGGCATGTCATTTAAGCGCGCTGCCGTTGTCTAGGAGCAGCGCGAATGATGTCGTCTACGCGGAGAAGAAGCTACTGTGTGTTAGTCATTCATCCCAGACATCATCTCTCAATCAACACCAAAGGCGTTGCTAGGCGGGTATGGCACGTACCTCTGCTGCCTCACTGGCAGACGAAACAACCGCTCTCTTCAGCTTGTAACTCTCAACGACACCCAAGTCGCGCATGTCGGTGATACCACCACCGGGCGACAGCAGGTCCAAACCATAATTCGTCATGCCGTCGTAAATCGCCTTTCTCAGACGGGCCACAAGCTCGCCAGAGTCGAGACCTGCGTTGTCGGCCAAAATGGTGGGCAGCTGGCGCAGCGCAGTCGCAAAGCTGCTGACAGCCATCTGCTTCTTGCCCTCAACGCGAGTGGCGGCACCCTCGACAGCCTTGGCCATAACCATCTCAGCACATCCACCACCCAGAGTGGTCCATGGCTCCTTCACCGTCTGTGACAGGACGGCAAGCGCGTCGTGCAGACTGCGCTCTGCCTCGTCCAGAAGCTGATCTGTGGCACCACGCAGCACAATGGTGCATGCCTCGCCAGCAGCGACACCAGAGAACTTGATCAAGGTGTCCTCGCCAATGATGACCTCCTCAATAAGCTCGCATTGTCCCAACTTGACCTGGTCGGGGTGGTCAAAAGTTGAGGCAATCTCACCGCCCGTCACCAACGCCAATCTCTCAATACCATCAAAATCGGCGTGCTCGATAGACATGATGCCGGCGTCCGTGAAAAGCTGCTCGGGCCAGTTGTAGATGAGTTGTCTGTTGATGAAGCAGTTGATGCCGTGCGACTTAATCTTCTCCACCTTTGCCTTCATCTTCTCCTTCTCGGCCTTCTCGAGGTCGGCCAGCTTGCTCGTCGTTGACACCTTGACGCGAGCGCCAAAGATCTTGATCTTGTCTGTGTCCATAGAGGTGTTGGCGACCAGGATCTTGGCCTTCTCGAGGCGCTTGGGCTGGTTGACACCAATTTTCTTGTCGAGAATGAAACCCTCGTCGAGGTACGAGTCGCTCAACTTGCCACCGGCCTTCTTGATGATTTGGATATGGCTCAGGTCGGAGGAGTTCTTGAGTCGCAGCACGGCATCGCAGGCGAGCTTGGAGAAATGGTCGCGGTCCTGGGCCAGGACCTTGGAGCTGAGGGTTGTGCGGGCAATGGCCTGCAGGTCTTTTCTGAATGCCTCGGGAGTGTTGCTGCGGTCGACGGCTGACTCCTTCAGGGCCTTGAGGGCGGCCTGGCTTGCTATCCGGTATCCCTCGATAATGGTCTGGGGGTGGATCTTCTTGTCGACGAGCTTCTCAGCTTCGCGCAGAAGCTCCGCCGCAAGGACGGCAACGGAGGTGGTACCATCACCGACTTCATCGTCCTGGACCTTGGAGATGTTGACCAGCACCTTGGCCGCCGCGTTGTCGAGGGCAATGGACTTCAGAATGGTAGCGCCGTCGTTCGTGACCATGATCTCGCCAGTCGATCTGGACGTTTGTCAGCCATGTCAGTGGATCAAGGCGGTAAATGGGGGGTTATTGAATTTGGCGGGGTTCAACTTACGCAGACTGCAGAATCTTGTCCATACCCTTGGGGCCGAGAGTGCTCTTGACGAGGTCACCGACGGCGATGGCGCCAACGAAGGCGGAGAGACGGGCATTCTCTCCCTTCTCCTCGGTAGTTCCGTCCTCGAAGATTTGTGTCGGGCTGAAGGACGACTGGAGGGGCACCCATTTGTTAGCATCTTGAGTCACATCCAAGGGGGTATGGGTGTTTGAGACGAACCATGGTGAATGTGTATTATGCAGACACTCTGTATCGAAAGTCGAATCGGTGACTGGGTGGGTGGGGGGAAAGCAAAGTATCTGGGTTGTACAATCCTCAGCCTTGGGAGAGCTTCACCGAGAAAATCGTCGTAGAAAATTTGGGGGGGTTCAGCCTGGCGAAGTGGGGTGTGCTGGGCAGGAGCTTCCAGGCAGTGTGGTCAGCGAAGCAGAGCTGCTGTGGTGTTTCTACAGACGTCCACTGTAGCAATTACTAGTGGTCAGTGCGCGCTCATGGCAGCAATGGGCACCTGGCGGGGTACTTCTTTTGGCGGGAGCTTCTCTGGGCGGTGAGAGACGTGACCCTGAAGCAGCCCGATTGGGAAAGTGTACCTGACGGTGACGGCCGGCAGAATCCACACGTGACTCTCCTAGAGGTGGCTGTTGCGACGAGGTATCGAAGTACCTTGCCCAAGGCCCCAGGCAGTAGCGAGGGGCTTTCTCGGGACCGGAACAACCGAATAATCCAGCCCACACGAATGTGCCATATCACCAAAAACTTTCCAAAACGAGGTCCAAATTGTGTGCGCGATAGTTGTTTGGTCCCCTTTGCCACCCCCTGTAGAACTCCCCTTCAAGACGTGAAATCCATTCAGTCGATAAGCCGCTAG